GTGATCCAGGCACCGGGATTGCAGGGGGAAGGAGGGGGGCTCAGGGGGCCGCCGTGTCCCTCCCGTGCCCCGGGGAGTCCTGCAGAGAGCCCGGGGAGCAGGCGCGTCCCCAGGGTGTCACACAGCCCCTAAACCCCCCGGGCCGCCCCGTGTCCCCCTGCTCTTACCTTCTCCCTCTCCTCACTTCGCCCCAGCTGGACGAGCCCAGCCAAGAAAAGGGGCACAATCCAGCTGCTGCTGCGGGAGCAGCGCCCCATGGCTGCGTGCGGGGTGCGGGGTGCCAGCACCCCCCGACAGCCCGGGGCCAGCGGCCGGGACAAGCGACAAGCGCCGCTGTCGCCTGCTGTCACCTCGGAGCCCGGCGGCGGCCGAGAAATAGCTGCGGGCTGCGAGGGGGGAGCCAATGGCCGGGGGGGGGCCGGGCCGGGCCCGCGTTAACCGTGTGGGCTCTGGGACGGACACACGGACACACGGACACATGGACAGACACCGCCCGGGGCTGGCATCCAGGGGGACACGGGGCAGCGGCATGTGCCCAGGGTTTATGCAATGTGTCACCCGAGCCGGGATTAAACCCGCGCGGTGGGGGAGAGATATCGGGGAAGGGGGAACGGGGGGAGAGGGGAGAGGTGCCCCATCCTGCCCAGGCCACCCAGCCAGGTGACATTTCCCCCCCAAGTGGGGTGCTGGCACCCGAGGAGCAGGGACCAAACCCCCCAGCAGCAGCATCGGGGTTCGCTGGGTGCCCCCAATGTCTGCTCGGGCTGGGCTGGCTGGGGAAGGCTGGGGAAGGCTGGTCCCGCTCCTCTCCTGTGTGCCCGGTGAAGGAAGGCGCTGCCAGAGGCTGCTCCGGAGGAGGATCCCCCCTGCCAGGGGCTGTGGCTGCTCGGTGACCCTGCTGGGGCCAAGGGCAGGGCACTGCTGGGTGTCCCCAGGGACAGGAGCTTCCAGGGTCCTTGCTTAGCCAAGGAATGTGAACATTTATTCTGGGCTGTCTCCAAGGAAAATATCCGTGGTGAGGTGTAAATTCCCTGAAATCCCCCCCCAAAATTTATTCAGTGGGAGAATTAACTGGCTGGAGGGGAGCAGGGGGAGTTGTGGTTTTGGAGTGAGGCTGGCTAGCTGTGGTTTTGGGGTGGAGGACAGTGTGGGGTGGCAGGGGGTGAGCCCTGGGAGGACCATGAGTGCCAGCAGGAGCTTTGGCTTTGCTAGAAAGCAGGGTCAGCCCTGCCTCCATGCTGTCACTGAGCCAGCTGCTGGAGATGCCACCAAGGAAGGGGAGTGAGGCCATGGGTTAAGAGGAAGCTGGGAGCAATCTCCCAATCTGTGTTCCTCACCAGAAGGAACATCATGTCCTGGGAAATGCTGGTGGTGTGAGGCTCCAACTGCAGCCTCAGCTGGCGTGGGAGGGCTGGGGGTGGGGTCCATCTCCCAGGCACAGAAAAGCCACGGAGCAGGGGAGCTGTGGGGTTTCTCAGTCACTGGCAGCATTTCCCAAAGCTTTAAACCTGCACTGCTGCTGGGGGAATGGCTTAGCTCTGCCCCGCCTGGAGCCCAAGCAGTGTGGGGTGTCCCTCAGGTCCAGGCAAACCCTCAGGGTGCTCAGCCACTGCCTGGGCACTGCACAGAGCCCATCACAACAGGCCAAGAGCCAGGCCAGCCACAGGGGTGCTCCAGGTGACTCTCACAGACATGGCTGTGAGTGGAGCAAGGTGGCTCCTTGCCAAAACCAGCATTTGATCCTCCCCACCTACTTCCCAGGCTCTAGGGAGGTTTGAGGCCATGGGGCTGCAGCTCCTGGCACATTCTGCATCCTGCAGCCAACAAGGACCAGTATGTGCCAGTGCTGTGCTCCCAACACAGCTCACACTTCTGAGCCTGCCCAGGGCTTGAGCCACCTCCTGCAACAGGGCTGGGACAGGTCTGGGGAGCTGCTCAGGACTGAGCTCCCTGCCCCACATTTCCCACCACAGGAACAGCCACATCTAGTTAGAGTGGTGTGTGGCACAGTGTGGTTGTGTCCCTTCCACGTGTCCCTGATCCCCGCCACGAGCAGTGAAAGTCTGAGTCACTCCTGGACTCGGTTTTCCTAAAACCAAAATAAAAATAAGGGACCTGTTCATCCAAGTCCCTCCTCCTTGGGTCCCAGTGCCAAATCAGCCTTGGTGGAGGCTGGGAATGGGGAAGGAGTTAATGAGGCAGAGCCAATGGACTCTCTCACTGCCACTGTGCTTCCCTGGCACCCTGGGCATGTCACTCGGTGTCCCCAGCGTGATGGACCCCCTGTCTGCCACTGATCTTCCCTGGCATGTCACCCAGTGTTCCCAACACACTGTGCCACGTCATGCTGGAGGCTGTATGCTGCAGGATTGGGGTCCCCCACCCCAAAAAGCAGCCGTGCAGGGCGGGCTGACCCTCACACGAACCGTCCTGCTCGGTTGTTTTTCCACCAGAGCTGATCTGGAGCCAGCCCCCGCCTGCTGCAGATGTTTGGCAGCAGTCTGGGATGGGAGGCCAGGCACTTCCAGCTCCCTGTCCCCCGTGCTGCCACTGCCACTGCCACCAGCCTCCCTGGTGTCCCCTGAGCCACGTGCCAGGGCTGCAGGGAACTTGTGCCAGGCTGCAGGGCCCCAGCTAAGCACGAGGAATGTGAAAACAGCGGTGGGGACCATCCAGTGCTGCCTGCTGGGGTTATCCCAGAGCTGACCCAGAGGTGTTTTCATGCAGAGGGACAGGGATGGTGCCAGCAGCGTGGCAGGACAGCAGCAGGCAGCATTGCTCTGGCTAGCAGCAGTGCAGCTTCCCTCTGGCAGCCTGGCTTGGCATCAATCCCAGGGCAACCTCTGAACCTTTGTTCTAAGTGTGTGACGAGAAGCAAAAGCAAAGCAAGTTCTGCCAGGAGAGAGGCCCCAGCTCTTTGAGCACCAGGCTTCCCCAGGCTGCCAGCCCGCAGCTCAGCCAGCCCTCGCTGCTCTGCCCCAGCCCGTGTGCTCCCACACACTGCCCTGGCTCAGCAGCAGCCTCTCTGCTGGCCATGGTGCCAGCACCCTTTGGAGAGGGGATCCCCTTCCCGAGTGCCCCCACAGCCCCCAGGCTCTGTGCTCTGCCCCCTCCAGCATTGCCATCCCCTCCTTTTCCAGGAGAATTGCTCCCTATGGAAATGCCCCTGGCCCATTGCCCCCCTTCCCCCTGCAAAGGGAGGCAAGATGAGAGCCAGCATGCTGTGTCCCCTTCTCCCTTCTGGGAGTGCCCCACCTGGGACTCCCCCAGCAGCAGCCCCCAGGGGCCAGCAGCCAGCTCCAGGCACATGCCAGCACCTCCAGAGAAGCATCCCAGTGGATGCTGAATCACCTCAGTGCCCACATCACCCTGCCTGCTGCAGCATCACCGAGCAGGACCCGCTGCTCAGCAGAAAGGCATTTTTCCTTGGCAAAACTCCATGCAAACACAAGCTCCAGCACTGTCCAGGCACTGAACCCATGGCCACAGGGGGATTTTGTTATCTTGCTCCATCCTGGAGGAGGAATTTCTAACTTGACAGTGTTGGAAATCCAGTTTAAATTCATTTTCCGCCATCTTAATGCTTTAAAAAATGTTGTGACTTTTCCCTGCTTTACCTCTGCTGCCATTTAGCTCCATGTTTGTTGTTGTTATGAGCAAACCCATCTTTCCAAGGCCTTTCCTGGAAATGTTTGCCACGGGTTTGAAACTTCCCAGAAAATTCATACCAATAAAGGAAATCTCTCAATTCCCTCTGCTGCTCTTGACAAGGGGAAGGCAGAGGTGGGAACAGCAATCATGGATGGTTGCATGGATGGGGGGAGGAGGTGTTCCATGCTTTTCCTCGTGTTTTGCTCCAAACCAGGCTTCCTTTCCAAACCACTCCAGTGTTTGTGACTTCTCCCCTATTCCTCTCATAGCAAAGCTGCTCAGCTCTAATTCCTGGTGCTGCTGGCTGTCCCCACATTGTCCCCAGGGAAGCAATGCTGGGGTGGAGCATGGAGGAGAGCAGAGCCAGGGCTGCTCCCACCCTGCACATCTGTAATGTCCTCCAGCTGCTGCTGCACTGTGCCAGCAAGGGAGGGAGAGAGGAAGAAAAACAGGAAAATAACTCTGGTTATTTGTCTCAAACTCTGGAACTCGAGAGGGGAAGAGAGAGTTGACAGCTCAAAACAGAAATATGTTTTGTTTGGCTGGCCAAAGAATAAGTGTCTGCTCCCTCCCAGCACAACCACAGCCAGTGGCTCCAGTGCAGGCACTTCTGCTCCCAGGGTCTGTATCCCTGTGCTTGGCTCCCTCCTCAAGGTGGGAGGTGTTTGCCCAAGGTCCTGCTTCCCTGGGAACCTCCTGCCCCTCTGGCCCCACCACCCAATGCAACCCCAAATCTGGATGCTGTGGATCAAGCCACACAGGGTTTCCAACACTGCAGGGCTGGTTGCTCTTTTCAGCACAGAAAATTGGATTTAAACAATTCCCACCAGCATCACCGTAGTGTTTCCCCACATCCTTCCTGACTCATGCTGCTCATTTTGTGACCTTCCTTGCAGTGAGTCACCACGACGCCGTTTCAGCCCCAGGGCTCCTGCCACACTGACTCGGCACGAGGCTGGGGTGAGGGAAGTGGCGCCGGTCACCCGAGTGGGATAAAAACAGCCACAACCACTGTCAGAAAGTCCTGAGGGATCCTTCCCACCCACGGGCTCCAGACTGAGGTTTGCCCGTGTGGAGCGTGGGGCTGGGCTGGCAGTGAGCTTCCTGATGGGCTCCAGGGACCTTGAGGCAAGGCAAGGCACGAGGTCAGAGCAGGGAGGGTTTCTGGAGAGGCTGCAATGCATCCCAGATCCTGCAGAGCCAGACAGCACCTGCAGTGTGGACAGAGCTGCATGACACACTCACATGAAGGATAAAGTCCATTTATTTCATAACAAAGGGCAGTACAAGAGCTTACATGATCCCTTGCCACTGGCTGGGCACAAACCTGCTCCTCCTGCTTTGCCTGCCCAGGTGAGGCACACACAGACTCCCCAGCAGGGCTGGTGTGCTGGGCAAACAGTGGGAGCTCTCACTCTCAGGAGTGGGGAGTGCAGCCAGCATGTAGACAGGAGGGCTGGCAGGAACTGCACACAGTCGTCTGCCCCACAAGATCCAGAGGAACCAAGGGTCCTGCAGGATTTTCCTACCATTTCTGCAGATAATGGGTAGAGGAGAAGATGGTGCCAGCTGCACATCTGCTGTGCAGCCGGCACAAGCTCTGTCACCGATGCTTTTAGCCAAGCACTAAATGCACAACCAGAAGCCACATCCATCTTGCTTTGACTCTTTTTTCCCCAGCCACCTTGACAGCTGGGACTCCAAAGAAGAAATAACTTTGTTAGGCATTTCCACTCCTTGCTGCTTGCCTGGGAGGAGACAGTGTCACCAGTGAAGGTGAGACCAGTCTGCCTCTCTCATGGAGTGAGATATTCCCAGCTGGATGTGTCCTCCAAGTCACACCTCTCCCCACTGCTGCCCACGCTGGCATTTCCCCCACAGTCCCCGTGAGCTCAGCGGGAAGATGAGGAGTGGGTACCCAGCGAGAGCCAGCTGCAGGAGCAGGTCTGGGCTGGCTCACCCCAGCTCCTGGCCAGGCTGCAGCTCTCAGGGTGCCCTGTGAAGGTGCCTGGCACAGGGTGCCATGGCTGTGGCCCCCAGCCCAGCGAGCTGGCCGTGCCCCCGTGCCCGTGGCTCACACGATGCCGTTGCGCGTGGGGTGTGTCCACACTCGGTAGATGATGACGGCCGTGGCCGGGCACAGCAGCAGCGCTGTCATGATGAGGATGGTGGCCAGGATGATCAACACGATGACCCAGATATCCAGAATGTGCTTGGGGAGGTCGGTGGGACTTGTGAGGTGAGGAAGGTCCATCCTGCAGGGAAAAGGCAGAGGGGAGGTGGGGCAGCCCCCTCCATCCCTCCCCTAGCCAGAGTCCCCCCAGTCCCCTGCTGCTCTCTCCAGGGATACTCCTGTGGCCGGGTCCAGCTTTCACCTTGGGCTCCTTCCAGAGCCTTTGCTAAAGGCTCCTTCAATTACCCGCAGGATTTACAGCATGCTTTAAAAGGCACTGGATAAAAGCCTAGGGAAAAACTTCCCTATTAGTTGCTACTGTTTGTTACAGGAACTGATAAAGGGAAGCCACAACCGGGTGTCCCGCCGGTCACGGGGACACGGCGGGGTCGAGTCAGCCAGAAGACCCCTCGTGTGTGTTCCCCCCATCCACACCTCGTGCTGAGTCACGGATTATCCATCAGCTCAAGGGGACGGAGGGGCCGGGGAGCGGGGACCCCCTGCCCGGGGACCGCGGCTGTGCCGCCGTCCTGCCCCGGCTCCTCGGGGCTGGGGGACACGATGCCGCGGGGGAGAGGCGGCAGCTGCCGTGCCCTGTCTGTGCTCTGTCTGTGCTCTCCCTGTGCCCTGCTGTGTCCTGCTGTGCCCTTCTGTGCCCTGCATGCCCTGCCCGCTCTGCCCGCCCTGCCTGTGCCCTGTCCGTGCCCTTCTGTGCCCTGCGTGCCCTGCCCGTGCCGTGCCAGTCCCACCTGCCCGCATCCCCGTACCTGCGGCGCTGCCAGGCTCCGGCTCCCGCTCCGAAGGCGGCTCCTGCTGCAGCTCCGGCGAGCAGCGGTGGCAGCGGCGGATCCTGCCGGGAGAGAAACGCTCCCGCCGGGGAGAGAGAGACTCCGCCCGGCCCCGCCCGGCCCGGCCCGGCCCGGCCCGGCCCGCGGGGCACAGCGCGGGGGGAGAAGGGGAAGGGGATAGGAGGAAGGGGAGGGAAGGAAGGAAAGGCAAAGCAAAGCAGGAGGTTTTTTCTACACCAGGATAAATAACACACTCCACCTCATCCCTCCCACAATGGGGTTCCACTGGGGGAGTGCCTCTGGAGCTGGACACGAAGGTCTCAGGGAGGGACTGTGGGGACATTTCACTTCATAGTCCGTAACAAAGGGTCCTCCCTGCCCTGTCCCCTCCTGCCTCAGCAGGGCTCACCGGCACCCGCTTGTCCCCGAGACCCAGGGCAGGAGCACCCAGAGCCTCCATAGCCACAGCGCCGTGCCCGCAGTCCGCAGGGGCTCAGGCACGGTGATTTACAGACACACGGCCAGAGAGAGGGGGGACAGAGCTCAGCCGCCGGCTGGGAAAGCTGTTTCTGCTGTCCAGCGGAATATTCCACTCCACTGGTGATGCTGAATGGCAAAAGCAAGATGGGATGCTCTGACTTTCCTTCTGGGACACAAGCTCAGTGTCAGTCATGGTGGGAGCCACACACTGCACCTTTCACTCCTGCCTTTTCCCAGGGAAACCTCTTGGGTTCCTGGTGGTGGAAAGCCCTACCACATGCTCCTATGAAAAACACTAATCACTTGTTTTTAAAATTTTAAAAGTTTAATAGTAATAAAATGGCTATAAAAATAGTAATACAATTAGAGTAATAATAATTTGGACAATTTGAATTAGGACAATATGAGACAACAGAAACAAAGAGTTAAAGACGTCCAGGTACCTTTTTCTGGGCAGCACGAGCCCAAAAAAGGACACCTGTTAACCAAGGATTAACCCTTAAAAGCAACAGTCCGTTGAATATTCATATATCCCATACATGATGCATAAATTCCATTCCAACAAAGGATTCGGTCTGGTCATTGTCATCTTCTTCCTCCTAATCCTAATGGCATCTTCGATCCTGAGTGAGGCAGGAAGAAGTCAGTTTCTTCTGATAAGAGAACAATAAATTCTTTTTCTCTGAAAGATTTAGCAGTCCTGTGGCTGCTATCTGGTGCGAGTACCTCATTCCTTTCTTAAAAAAAAAATATCCCACTTACACAGTTCCTATTTTAACTACAAAAGTTACCTTTTAACTAGAAAACTACATTTATCATACTATTAAAATGTTAATACAGCACTACTAATCAATACAACAAAATACATACAGTAAATATCTGCATAGAGCCATATAATATGCACTTTTCACACTGCTGGTGCTCCAGGCACTCCGGGACATGCAGCTCTGTGGGAGCAGGGCACGGGCAGCCTCCTCTCTGCCCCTCCAGCTGCTGCAGGCGGATAAAACTGTGGGGTTTTTATCTGAGCAGCAGCACATCCTCATGGACAGGGCTTTCCTGTGGGGCAGAGGGCAGGGACATTCTGCAGGCGCTGTGTGGGGATGGATCCGGGGTGAGGGTGGGATTCAGGCCACAGGCCAGGCTGGCTCTGCCTTGTTTGGGCTCTCCAGCAGCACACTGGGAGGGGTTTGCTGATTCCAGCTCTGCCCTCAGCAGAGAATGAAGCAGTTGTAGTGCAGACACCGAGCTTCAGATCTCTTAAAGCCTGCTGATGTGTTTATTCTCTCTGCACGCAGAGAGCATCCGCAGACCTCGTGCTTTCCTCCTGATCCCACTGCACGGGAACGTTCATTCTTGTCAGGATCCTGTCTTGGTGGACATGAGACTGAAGAGAAACCACCTTTGGGGTGTGAAAGATCACCCTCTCTGCTCTGCTCTGCTCTGGTGAGAGCCACCTGGGCTGTGTCCAGCTCTGGGCCCCAGCGTGACAAGGACACGGAGCTGCTGGGGGGACTCCAGAGAAGGCCCTGGAGATGTTCTGAGGGCTATGCCCCTCTGCTCGGGAGCCAGGCTGGGAAAACTGGAGAAGGCACGGCTCCAAGAGACCTCAGAGCCCCTTCCAGGGCCTGAAGGAGCTCTAAGAGAGCTGGAGAGGAACTGGGGACAAGGGCTCGGAGTGACGGGATAAGATGGAGCTGCTTCCCACTGCCAGAGGCAGGGACAGATGGGACACTGGGGAGAAATCCTGCTCTGTGAGGGCAGGGAGCACTGGCACGGACCAGCTGCGGCGGCCCCACCCCCGACAGGGTCCAAGGCCGGGTTGGAGAGGCTCCGGGACCAAGGAAGGTGTCGCTACCGTGGCCATGGGTGGCATTAGATGGCACTCGGTGGCATTTGGTGGCCCCGGGTGGCACTTGGTGCCACTAGTGGGAGGCCACGCCCCCTCACAGGCCACACCCCCTGCCAGCCACGCAGTGTCACGTAGCCAGGCCGGCGTGGTGACGTCAGCCGGCGGCGCGGCGGAGCCCGCCCCTTCCCAAGATGGCGTCGCTGCTGCAATCGGAGCGGGTGCTGTACCTGGTGCGCGGCGAGAAGGAGCTGCGGGCGCCGCTGCCGCAGCTGTACTTCTGCCGCTACTGCAGCGAGCTCCGCTCGCTCGAGTGCGTCTCGCACGAGGTAACGGCGGACCGGCCGCGCCGCACCCGCGCACCGGGCGGGACCGGGCGGGATGGTGCTCTCTCTGCGCGCAGCGATTGGGTCGCTCTCCTGCCACTCACTCGCTTTCTGCTTTTCTATTGGTTGTTGGCGCGGCTGGCGGGTGGGCGCAGCGCTGAACGGGGCGCGCGGATTGGTCGCGAGTGACGAATGGGGCGGGGCTACGCGTTGATTGGCTGTGCGCCCTTGTCCGTCGGCGGAGCTCGGTCTGTGATTGGCTGGGGCCAGCGCACAGGGGCGGTTCCCCTCACTGGGGACAAGGCCCCCTAAATGGCTCTGGCCGGGACCCCCCCAAACCTCGGTGGGGCCCGAGCGGGGCTGCGGGGACCCCTCACCTTCAGCGGGGACCCCTCACCCTCGTGGGGACCCAACCTTTAGGTCTAGACCCCTCCCCACCACACCCATGCCCATCAGGCCCGGCCGAGGAGGGGCACAGGGACCCCCCAGACCCACGCCCCGTGTCGGTTTTTTTTTGCAGCTACGATTTTTGCTGTGAAGCAGGGGTTTGACTTCGTAAATTGTCATATTAAAATCGCCGAGACTCCTTTTGTTGGAAGCATGGTTGAATTAAGACATTGTGACAGATTTGGGAAGCCTTGAAGGAATGACTGTGCAGCCCAGATGTCAGAAAAGGCAGCTTCAATGAATGTTCAGGCCTCTGAAGGGAGAATTTGTGACCTGGCTGTATCGTCATGAATTCGCTGTGGTGTGAGCAGTGCAGTCATTGTGCGTGGCCATGCTTAATAATCACTTTGAATTCCTCTTCGAGAAGGGGGCCCAGTCTTGCTGCTGTTGTTTTAATGAACAAAATTCACTGTGACAGCTGAGAGATACAAAGCATCCTCTGAAATACTCGTGTATCTGACCAGTGTAACTGTGAGGACACAATAAATTAAGGTCCAAATAGAAAATAAAATGTTAAAACTTGTTCAAACTGAAAAATGAGATTCTGGTAATTGCTAAAGGTCAACACTCAGCTGATCTTTTCCCATTTACAAGGCGGAGTAGTTTAATCCATTCTGACTAAAGAAACCTTATAATTTATGTTATTGAAGATCAAAATCTGGCTGAGATGGGGTAAGATTTTGCATACCAAAAAGCATCTCAAGCCTTCCCTGGCTTCACCCTGCTGTTGCAAGGCACAGATCCTTGTTGGATCATGTGGCAGTTTGGGGCTTTTTGGACAAAGATGTGCCAGATAACATGTGTGATGTGGCTGTATCTTCTTCAGGTTGACTCTCACTACTGCCCCAGCTGCCTGGAAAACATGCCCTCAGCTGAAGCCAAGCTGAAAAAGAACAGGTAAAGTTGCTTTGGAGTTTTTTTTTTCATCAAGGCTCTCTATTTAAAACAATCCCTTCCCTGTCTGAAACTCTTCAAAAATTACATGGCTGCTTGTTGTGTTTGAGTCTGTTTTGGGGAGTCTGTTTTGGGGAGCATTCAGCAATGGGAAATCCACCCAGAGTCCCTCTGTCACCTCCAAATGAGTTCAGCTCCCTGATGTGAACAGAAAACCAGTCAGGAGAAGTCATTAGAGACCTAAGATATGTAATTGATCTCAGAGACTTCTCTCTAGGTTGCCACTGTGATTAACAAACAGGGATAAACTCATCTTTCTGTGAGCAGTTTAGAGCAGGGATTGTGCTGAGGCACTCTGAATTGTCTTCCTGGAGAGCTTTTTTCCACAGGGATAAGACTCCTGAGAGGTACCATAACCTGGGATCTTCTTCAGGAAAAAGATAATAATAAAATAAACCTAAATTCACTTAATTTTAATGCTGAAGAGCCTGAGGTATGTGTGGAACAAAGACGGTTGAGGAACAGCCTTGTGATGACTGCAGGGTCTTTACCAAGCCCAGCTGGCATAATCTTCAAGGAGGAAAAAAAGGCTTTTTCTCTTTTGGGGAGTAAGTGTCTTTCCATGATGTATCAGGAAAAGTGTCTTTCCATGATGAACAGGGCTGTTCATGACTTTTGGGGGTATTTTTATGACCTGAGCTCATAATACAGAGGATTTTTAGTGTCACATTGTGTTTCTCACTGCTGCTGCTCCTGTGCTGACTCTGAATGCCCCAAGTTCCTGTCCCAGCCCGTCGTCCCTAGCGCTGTTGCCTAGGAATTAACAATCTGTTGTTTTAGTGCTGATGTGGTTGTTGGGAGCATTTCTCTCAGCCTGGCACTCTTCTCAGAGCCCTGCCTTGCTGTTTGCAGGTGTGCCAACTGCTTTGACTGCCCGTGCTGCATGCACACCCTCTCCACACGGGCCACGAGCATCCCTGCGCCGCTGCCCGACGACCCGGCCAAGACCACCATGAAGAAAGCCTATTACCTGGCCTGTGGCTTCTGCCGCTGGACCTCCCGGGATGTGGGCATGGCAGACAAGTCTGTTGGTAAGGGACAGTTCAGAGACACAGAACTGAGTGACAGCATGAGCCCAGTTTGTGTTTTGAAGGTAACAGATAATCCAGTTCCAGCAAAGTTTGCCAGTTTCCAGCTTGGCACCGCTCTGTCGGCCAGGGCGAGCGGCTGCAAACCCAATCCATTTTCTGTGGGTAAAAGAGTCATTTCCCCATGGTCTGGGTATGAGATCAAAGGTGGCATTTGGGGCTCTAAGGTTTGAAGGGTCCTAGTTGCTGGCAGCTTTAGTTTTGGAGGAATCCAGCCAAGTTTGCAAATTTCTCACATGGCAGACAAGTCTCTTGGTAAGGGACAGTTCAAAGATTGTCTTGGTTTGGAAAGACAGGAATCTCTTAAGGAAGGCAGAAGCCTCCCCTGAAATTGAGAATGTAAACCCTCCCCACCCCTCCAACTTGCTATAAATTTTAAATTAAGGGGCTCTTAGGCAAAAAAAAAATATGGGAACAGGAAATAACAGTTCTTTAATAGGGAAGAAAATAAAAGGATAAAATAAACAATGGAGTAAACTAGAACAACACTGACAGAGTCAGAACTCAGCCTGACACCCTGTTGGTCAGGGTGTTGGCAGCAGTCCCATTGGAAATGTGGCTGCAGCCCTCCTGCAGTGTCAGGTGTGGTTCTGTTGGAGCAGGGATCCTGTAGAAAGGTGCAGTCTTCCTCTGAAGATCCAGTGGAGGAAGAGGCAGCTGCTGCTCCTCTGGGGAATCCAGTGGAGAAGCCATGCTGGTGTTCCAAAATCTCCAGATTATATCTGGGTAGCAATGCTTGGCTCCTCCCTCTGGGCTCACATCTCCCAATGGGATGCTGTAGTTCTTATCAGCCATGCAGTGACATTCAATAGCTGTTATCAGCAGATGTCCCCTCCAGAGGGGAGGGAATCACTGATTGTGATCACTCAGAGAGAGATAAGGAGAACTGCCCACTTGACAAAAGAAAACTGCCATACAGATGGTAATAGAATACATCTTGCCTTGCAATCTGGAGCAGACACAAAGCTGAGTTACAGCAAGAGCCCAGTCTGTGTTTTGAAGCTAACAGATAATCCAGTTAGCTCCAGACTGCTATAGACTTGATATCTGGCAAGGATTGGAGTTGTAGTTGGAAATTCACAGGAAAACTCTTCTTAGTTGCTGAGGAGTCCTCTGAAGAGCTGAGTTAGTGAAATGTGTGACCCACTTTCATGCCTGTGTTACCTGACTAGTGAGAAAACTGTCAAACTGTTTCAGTCAGTGCACTCTCCCCAGTGCTGAGATCTTGTTTGTGTGCTTTCACAGGCTTTGAAGCTGCTCAGTCTGACAGCATAAACACCTAATTTATTTTCCATCGCTTTTGTTCACTTAGACTTATTCCAGAGTTGCTAGTCAGTGTTTGAACTTGGCATTTCTCTTCACAAGAGCACTAGAACAAAGCTTTCATCTATTTTTTGGTACATGAAATGTACAGAAAATATCTGTCAGGTGGGGTTGAGTAGGCCAAGCAGATCCTCTGACTTCCAGTGTTGATGTGACTGAAAATGGAGCTGAGGATGCAGAGACAGCAGCAGCCAGTTATAAGAGACACACATAATAACACAAGTACCTGCTGCTGAAGTGACTTCTGGGTGCTGTCCTGAGTATGTCTCAAGCAAAATTTGTTTAAAAATACAATATAAAAGATGTCAGAGCTCCTTCATGCCAAACCTGCCTGTGCAACTCTTTCAGAGGTGTATATTTGTACAGACATGAACTTAAACAATTGCAGTGGTAGGTGTAGCAAAAATAAGGAATGTCATATTTTATAAATAACACCAAGATAGTTGAGTGTTGTGTGATTTCTGTGTGGCATCTGGAAACCTCCTGTGGACTTGGCTTTTTCCCTTCTCTTCTGCAGCGAGTGGGGGCTGGCAGGAGCCGGAGAATCCTCACACACAGAGGGTAAGTGAGTGGGAAAGCTGTGCTTGGGCTGAAATGCATCAGCCAGAAAGAACTGTTAGAGTGTCAGGCCCTCTCAATCACTTTTTCTGCATCTATATAATCCTTCAGATGCCAGTTCCAGTTCCTAATCTGCACCTTGAATGGAGGGAAGGCCTCTTAGAGGCTCCCTGAGGATGTCACAGTATAAAATCTGCTTTTGAGAAGAAGCTCAGTTGAAACCAACCTATCTAATGGTGCTGTTAAGGTGAATGTGCTGTGTATGTATGTGGAAAAAAAAAAGCTGTTTTCCAATCAAAAGTGTGTTCAGGATCTGGAAAACACAACTCCACCTTTAACACCCTTCCCTTTTACCCATTAGGGCTCCACTCTAAATGTGACCAGCCTTGGGGAGGGGGGAAAAGATGCTAAAGATGCTGTTTGCTCTGCCAATCCAAACTGCTCAGAGCTGGCCACATGGCATTACTCTATGCAGTCATGGCAAGTTCATGAATGAAGTCTCAGTTGCTGAATTGCAAAGTGAGATTTGGACACTGCCCTCCAACACATATCATTCCAAGGAAGGGTCATTTTGTCACCCACAGTGTGGGTTAAGACTCATTAAGGTACGCAGACTTGTTGAAGTAGATCCTGCACAATACAGCTGGTACTAGGAACAGAGTGAAACAAGCAGCAGGAACCCCAGCTAGTTCACAAGGAAATGCTGCAGCTGAGGTGACAATGCTCCCTGTTCCTCCCTCCAGATTAACAAGCTGGTTGAGTACTACCAGCAGCTGGCTCAGAAGGAGAAGATCGAGCGGGACAGGAAGAAGCTGGTGCGACGCCGCAACTACGTCCCACTGGCCTTCTCGGTGAGCTGCTGTGCCATCCTCCCAGAGCAGCAAAAGGGATCCACAGCAGCCTCAGCCTGGAAAATTAGACAGTCGGTAGCATGATAGGGCTGCCCAGCTTTGGCTAATTGAGGACAACATGAAGAAAATGAGGCTTTCTTTAGGGATTAATTCTTTTACATGCATTACTGTGTATTACATTGCTACTCTCTCTGATAGTCCTCCCCAGCAGTGCCAGAAGGTTTATACTTGCCATGCCTAGGAATATGTTCTCCAGCAGTGAAGTGCAGTCCAGCTGCAGCCACATTGCCTGTGGCATCTCTTTGTCAGGACAGTTCATCTCACAGCTTAGTGACAGATAGATCAGCATTGTCTGACACTTCTCTCCTTGAAATCTCTACTGAAGTTAACCTTAAGACTTGGTTGTGGCTTGAATGACTTGTTTATTGTACCTGGCAGGTAAATGCTCACTTTGTTTAGCTGGGTGATTGCATATGCTTGCTACTTCAATGAACTGTGCTTGCTCTGTGCCCTTGCTTGTGTCTTATGGCTGCATTTTTTGTCTCCGTTGCTACCTGCTGCTATTTTGGGGGCTCTCCACAGCAACACACTATACATGTAGTGGTAAGTCCTTTCACAGTTTCTGCTGGTGTTAAAGCTCTCATGGTACCAACTGAAGGGGAGTAACAGATCCTACACCATGCCTCAGGGCCTCTGGCTTAGGTGTGCCTAGAACAAACCCAGGTGAAGCCAAACTCTTCAGAGGGTAACATTTGTTACAAAAAATATTTTGTGTTGGTTTAGAAACAGGACAGTGTCTTTGAGTAAGTAATGTACACTTGAAAAGCAGTCCTTCACCAAACTAGCCTGAAACTCAGCTGTCTGCTTGGCCAAGACAGGTGGTACTAACATTAACCGTCTCATCCTTGAAAAATCACCAGAGTAGCTAATCTCATTTAGTGACAATTCAGGCTTTGAGCCCTGCCCAGAAGGAAGATGTCTGCCCCCAAGCACCCTGGGTACAGCTCAGCTGTAGAAAGCTGAGGAGTAGCTCAGCTATTGCTGGTGAGAGACACTTGTAGGTAACAAGGCTTGCAGGAGCTTTTAACAGCTTTCAGCTGCTTCAAGTCGTGCTACAGAGCCTTTCAGATGGATGCATAACCACATCAACCCACTTTTTTTGGCAGCTGAGCTCTCATTCTACATTAGTTGACATGGAGTTGCTCTGAAGAGAATATCCAGGGAAGATGTGTCAGTAGTGCAGGCTGGTGATTTGTGGAAGGAGCAAAAAGCTTTATTAGCAGTAGCCACACACATCTGTCTTTCCCCATCTGTAGTGCAGTGGGAATTGTTTTCTCCTTGCTAACAGTTTAAGCAGAAAAATGTATCTTAGGAAGCGTTGAATACCTTTTCCTTTTTGCTTTCCTTTGCTTCTACCCCCATGCTTGTCATGCAGCTCAAAGGATGAGTTTGCAGCAGGTTTTTGTGTCCCATCAGGGGCAGACCTGAGGGTGACAGTTCCTTTTTTCCTTGTAGGACAAATACAGCCTTGGGACGAGGCTGCAGCGCCAGAGGCCCGGAGCTCCCATCAGTGCCCTCGCTGGGCTCTCGTGAGTCTCAGGGTTGGGGTTACCTTTGGGGGGAGCATTGGAGGGGTAGGCAAGAGAGGAGTAAAGCAGCTCTAGGAAGATGATAGACAATTAGCAGATAGCAGTGAGAGGAGATTTCTCCTTTTGAGCACTCGAGAGGTGTCAGATCCTCAGGCATCTCTGTGCAGCAGCTCCAGATGTTCTGCTTTCTCCCAAGAGGAACAAGGGACTGCTCACACCCTTGTTGCAATTATTGTTGTGCAGTCTCAGCTCTCACTGTCTTTTGGGCTATAATGCAGTTGCTGTCAGAGCACACATGCCCTATTTCATGACTGAGTTGCCCCTTATTTTGCTTCAGCCTGAAAGAAGGAGAAGACCACAAGGAGATCAAGATTGAGCCAGCTGATGCAGTGGAAGAGGTGGAGCCTCTTCCTGAAGATTACTACACAAGACCAATCAATCTGACAGAAGGTAAAACCTTAGTATTCTGTTACTTTTTGGCTTATATTTTGTAATATGGGCATTGCCTACAAGCCTGTGACATTTTGTCATGACCCAAGTTCCTGGTCATTTTTATGCTGGGATTGAAATACTGGGAAATACTTGACTTTTTAAATGGTAACTTTGAATGCAGCCTCAGCTTCTTGTTGTACATGGAAAGCTCAGAGCCAGAAGGCCTGAAGGGTTATTTAATTTTCTTGCTGGCCTTAATTTCTGTGTGTGTGAGGCATCAACTTTTGGATGGAGAAAAAAGCTGATGTCCTTTTTCAAATAATAGCAGGAAATAAGGAAATAGCAGCTGCTGGGGATCTGGCACCAGAAGTGGGCTGTTGAGTAACAATTGCACATTTCTTTGACATCAGCTTGGAACAGCCTGTGTACACTTGCCAGTGCTTTAGCTGACTCATAAATTTAATCCATAAATACTGTAAATTGATCAGTTAGACTTGATGTGAACAGGATAAAGCAGCAGGTACAGGAGTGGTGTGGGCTTCCAGCTGAGGTAGCTCCAAGTGGAATGGATGATGTTGGTAGTTCTGCAGGCCTACAAAGTCTGCCAGTATCAATAAATTCATGAGAGGTTTATGGAAAGGGGTAGATCTTCTTGGTCTCCTTTTCTCAAGAGGCTCTTGGCACTGTGAGTTTGATGCTGCTGAAGAAGATTCTTGATTCCTTACAGACAGGGAAGGGCTGCCAGATGGCTCACTTGTCTCTTAGGCACTGGTTCAGTGAGGAGCCTGCATTTTGAGAGAAATCCATGGGAGGTTTTGGCTGCTGGGAGTTTCTTGCTTTGGGAACTGTTTTCTCTAATTCTACGTGTGAGTCTGAGTTATGCAAACTCCTTGCTAAGAAGCTGTGTATTGTACTCATGCAGCACCCAGCTGTGAGGGTAACAAAGATGTGAAACTCATTTCTGTAGTGAGGGAAAGAACTGTGTTCCAAATGGTTAGAAAACTCTTGTTTCCATCCCAGTTCAGCTGCGAAAAAAGATGTGAGTTTCTCCTGGGCTAGCACTGATGTTGCTCTCATGTTACTGTGCCCAGTCAGGGCGGCCCTTTATTCAGCTTTTGCCTTTCTATTTATTTCTAGAAACGTGATAGCTGCCAGTGCCTTCTGAATTACGAGGTGCAGGTGAAATTAAGTGTCTTAGAGATGGTGGCAGATCTCCACACAGTATGAGGTGCTTATGTAGAATCCAGTTTCAGTTCCTGAGTCATTTCTTTGTCTTTTTCTGTTGTGCTGCCAGTGACGACTCTGCGGCAGCGCCTGCTGCAGCCTGACTTCCAGCCCATCTGCGCTTCCCAGCTCTACCCCCGTCACAAGCACCTGCTGATCAAACGCTCGCTGCGCTGCCGGGTAGGCAATTCCATCCTGAGCACTGCCCTGCTACAGGAGCCTCCTCCAGCCAGGTCTCATGAGCTCCCAGAGGCCTAGAACACACCCAAGGTAGCTCAGCCACGCTTGGAGACATAAAAATCAGCAGGATGGCTTCTGTCGCAGTGTTGGAAACAAAAAGGTTTCATAAAAGGTGAAATAACAAATGGAGACAAACTGAGCTAGGTACAGGAGGTCTTTGCTCTTTGTAAAACACCTTACAAAAGTGATTCGTTTTTTTGTTTGCATCTGTTGCCCAGGCAGGACTTTTTGGCTTCTGTCTAATTAGCTTTAAGCTTGAGGTGAAGTCTCTAGGCCTATGAGGTGGCTTGTTTACCTAATAAAAGAGAGAAACTTCTGAGCTTCTTTCCTTTTTAAGGAGACAAAGGATAGTTTTGTCACTCTGTCAACAAAGAGCACACTCCTACATGCCCTTTCCAGGCTCTCAGCACTCAGGTGCTGGGAAATGGGCTCTGTGTTTCTCTTTTAAAAGAAATAGCTCAAAAGCTTCTGGTTGTTGAAAGTTCCCAGCCAAGTTAGTGGTAGCAGTACTGAGGGATGAGGGAGGCTGTGATGTCTCTGGTGTGATGATAATTGTGAAAGGGGGACAGCACTGTCAAAGATTCATAAAGATACAAAGGTGGTTTGTGCTAGTGCCCTGCCTAGCCAAAGAGTCAAAGAATACTGCCAGTGCAGTTGAGATAAAAAAAAATTGCTGTTACTAAGGACAAAAGTCAACAAACAAATTATTAGGGAGAGGCAGTGCAGGATACTTAAGATGTCACTGGAGTGAAGGCAGGAAGATGGTATTTCACAGAAGCAAAGCAGAGCTCTATGAAGACAGGCAAGGGTTAAATCCAAGTTCTGCTGTTGGCTCTCTGCGTGGCCCTTATTATACTATTTGTTTTCTCAGTCATACATGGATATTTATTTATCTAGTTCCTAAAGTACTAGAGCAATATTATTGTAAGTATTTAATATGCAGGATGCTGAACAAATGCGGAGTATTTTCTCAGAAATAAGTAATGTCAGACTGATCTTGTATTTGAAGAGTAGCCTGTGAGGAGATCAGGATTTCTAGCTGCTTCATTTATTTAATGGATTCTGGAGCATAAGGCAGTTGTTTGTGCTGCAGTCAGTGTCCAGGTGTTTTCAAAACTAGTTCCAAGTCTTGTGTTTCTGAGGTTGTGCTGGATATGACATTTTGGAGTATCAATAGCTGAGCACATTGATGGCTACATACACCCCAGAGAGTTTTTGTGTGCTGTGCTGGAGGCTGCAATGTCATGGCTGGTGACACAGCACTTGTGGTTCTGATTCTTCAGTGTGTGACTGCACACTGTCTTTGGTGCTGACTTAAATACCTTTCTCTCTAGAAATGTGAGCATAACCTGAGCAAACCAGAATTCAATCCAACCTCTATCAAATTCAAGATCCAGCTGGTTGCTGTGTAAGTAAGAAATGGGAACTGGGGACAACAACTCCCTGTTCATGCTTAGTTATTGCCTTCTATTTTAATTTCTTTTGACCTCTTGTGGGATTGTGTCATCCCTTAGGATGGTGTAATCACCTTTTTAAATATATTTAGCTTATCTGTAATAGGTTTGCTTGCTGATCTACTAAAGATTTCAGCAGTTTGACAGAAGCACTGCCTGCTGTGCCAGCCCCAGACTGTAGCAGGGCTTTGTAGGGTTAGGGTTATACAGCAAAAGGACACTTCATTTTTCATTTTAGGAAAGCTCTGATAGCTTTACAGACAGCAGCACAGTCCCTCACAGTCATTTGCTCTGTTGTTTTGTAGTAACTACATCCCTGAAGTGAGAATCATGTCTATTCCCAACCTGCGCTACATGAAGGTCAGTAGCTTTTCCAGAAATGTCTTAGGCTGAGACATAGCCAGGAGCTGTGAATGTGGGATCTTTTTGGAAGATGGCATGGTGTGATGATTGTTCCCTGAGGGCTCCACTCACTCCATTTAGAGGGTGCAGGGTTTAAGGGAGTGGCCAGAGCAATGCTGCATGTTCTTGTCACTGCAGCAGTAGATTGCTGTGCAGTGTGACATCACCACTTGCCAATGTCTAAAGAATAAAGGGTGTGGAATTGAGATCTCAGCTAGACTCCCAAAATACATATTTATTATATTAAAAGTTTTGCATGGCATTAGTGCCTTTCTTATAGATGGAGTTGGTTGCTGTCCATCCATTGAGAGGATGTGATGCAATTTTTGAATGTGTTGATGAGTCAGAGAAGATGGAGGTGCTTACAGTAACAATGAATTTTAGCACAATTGCTTCTTGAACTGTGATTCCTGAATCTCCCCAGGAGAGCCAAGTCCTTCTGACTCTGACTAACCCCGTGGAGAACGTCACACATGTCACATTGCTGGAGTGTGAGGAGGGAGACCCTGATAACATCAACAGCACTGCCAAGGTATTGATTGTACCCTCCTGCTGGGTAAGCCCATGGGTTTACCACTCCCATTTGTCCTTCCACAGGACACACTTTTCATATGTACTTCAACCCCTGCTAACTGTGCTGCATTTCCCTCCTTGGAGCATAAATTACTGTCACCAATATAAACAGCTGCTCATTAAGTATTTTGAAATTTTGGCTGTTCCTTGATAATGAAAACCCAAGGGAGAAATTTATTATTTCTCTGGCAGGGTGGTAATCAGGTGGTCCTGGAGCAGAGAAAAGCTGAGGATGAGTCAGTTTTCTCTTAAACTGCATGAAGCAGACCTCAGAAGAGGAGAGCCCTCCTGCTTGCAGTGCTAAAAAGCTTCTTTCTCTCCCTGCTCTGTTTCAGGTGGCAGTTCCTCCTAAGGAGCTTATTCTGGCTGGCAAAGATGCTGCAGCAGAATATGATGAGTTGGCAGAGCCTCAAGACTTCCAGGATGATCCTGAGTGAGTGTCCTGTGGGGATCCTCTCCCTTAAAAACTCAGCTCTTTGAGTAACTCCCTCTCCTCCTGTCTGTCTCCAGTGTGGTTTGAGTTCCTCTGAGAGCATTGTTCCACTTGGAACAATGCTTGGAGAACTTGGCTGACCCAGTGTTCCTGTGTGTTCTGCCCTGCAGCATTATTGCCTTTAGAAAAGCCAATAAGGTGGGAGTTTTCATCAAGGTCACCCCGCAGAAAGAAGAGGGCGAGGTAACCGTGAGTTTCAAGATGAAGCACGAGTTCAAAAACCTCACTGCTCCCATCAGGCCCAACGAGGATGGTGACCACCCCTCTGAGGTGATCTGGCTCACCCACCACGTGGAGCTCAGCCTTGGCCCCGTGCTCCCCTAGCGGCTCCCAGCGCTGCTCCCGACGGCTGGATGGACTGGCACCCTGAGAAAGCACCTGAAAGGTTCTGCAGAGCTCCCCTGTGATGTGTGGGTGTGCCACGGGCCCGGCCAGCTGCCAGGAGGGGGCTGAGCTGCCGTGGTTTGGGCTGGTTTGTTCTCTCTCCCCTTGTGTAGTGCCCACTAACCACCACTCCACTTCCCCTCACTGCCCCAGGCTAGAGTAACTTGCAGCACGTCTTAGAGCACAGAAGAAGATCTCCCTCCAGGTTTGCACTGAACTGGGCTTTATCAACAGAGGATTAGGGCTGAATTTGGATTTATCAGCAGAAAAGTAGCCATACTGTTTTTTTCTCAGCCCACAAACCTGATGTTACATACCCAATAATGAACAACTTCTCTTTCACACAGAGCAATGCCCTTCCCAAGCAAACATTTTAAGGAGTGTCCCTGCCTTCTGCATCCTGGCAAGTTACTGCCAGCAGCATGATCTTTTAGTTTGGTTTTCTGCTCCTTCACAGGGTACCTCAACTGTTTGGGCTGGGCTGTAGAGCCCTACCCCTCTGGCATATGTAGCTTGCTTAGCCGAGGTGGCAGATGTTTTTTCACAAAGGAGTTGATCAGTTTGCCTTTAAACTTTAAACATAGTGTACTGTAGTGTTCATGGATCTGACTGGCAACCAAGCCTGCTGCCTCTCAGCTGGGTGTGGCAGCAGGATGTGCTGCAAGCTGGGAATTCAGGTGCTGCTGCAGCTCAGAAAGCTCTGGAGAGGCAGGGATGCTCCAGAGAGGCTCCCTGGCAGACCTCAGCTCAGTAAATGTTGTGTTGCTAGGGGTTGTAGCAATGAGGGTATGAAACCTGGAGAGTTAAGATTAGTTCTGGTAATTATAAAGCTACAGTGGTGATTTGGGTTTGTAATCTTTGTTTTTCCAGTTAGGGCGGGTGGGAGGGAGGTGTAAAGGTGGAAACTCATTATGTGTTAAGGACACACACTGTACCAGAAGGTCATTTACCCAGGGTATAATTTGGCTGCAGTCCAAGCTAAAATGGGTGATTAAGAGCTGTGTATCCAGGAGACTGAATTACTGAGAAGTGCATGGCTGGTGCAGGCAGGTGAGATGGCTCTTCCTGCAGAGCATTCCCACTTCAGACCTTGACCTTTGTTAAACATTTCTGAGGGCCTTTGACACGCTGCTGTGCTGGGAAAGGCTTGAACACCAGCCAGCCATGGCTGTGGCATGATGCTTGTGCCATGGCTCTGCCAATCCTCTGCATGGAGGGGCAGGATGAGGCTGCCTGCTCTCTGGAGGGGTGATGCAGCACCCCAAAACATCTCCCTTAGCTGAAGGAGCCTGCTGTGGTGTGCTGGGGGCTCACAGCTCACAGCCCTGGCCCTGCAGCGGGTCTCAAAGCAGCGAGGCATCACGTTTACAGCTCTGTGTAGGTGACACACAGATGTACAGCATGAGTTTGAGACTTGTAGTTAGTAGTTAATGTGTAGTGCTAGTGCCTGCTGTGGCTTTCCCTGTCCGGATAACAAAGCACTTCACCTCTGGCCACAACTTCTCCTGTTCAGTAGCCAAAGCAGCTGCTGCACTTGGACACCACCACAGAAAGACCTCCCAGGACCCAGGCCTGGAGCTGTGCCTGGGGTTTGCTGCAGGCAACGTGACCTGGGCTCTTTTCACTACAAACAAAAGGTGCACTGGGCTGTGGCGCTCTGAGCTCGGCGAGCTGCTTTCCCCTCCCCGCAGGTGCTGTAGGCCATAGGAAAGGAATTGCCGTGTCCCTGCCTCTGTCCCTGCTCCCCGACAGGCGCCTGTTGCCTTGTGCTTGACGTCGTGTAGTGACCTTCAATAAACCACACGTGGCTCTCGGATTCTGTGCGCTGCCTCTTATTCCAAAACAATCGTTATTTAAACAAAACAAAAGGCGGGGCTCCCCCGTCCGTTCCCAATGGTCTCGTCCCCGTCCTCCCCCCCTTCATTTCTCGTGGTCTCGCCCGTTCAGCCGTGCCTGGAGCGCCCCCTGCCGCTGTGACGTCACCGCTCCCTCAGCCCGCCTTTTCCGTCACGGCGCTGGTGGAAGTGGCGTCACTTCCGGCCGCCGCCTGCCGGCAGCGGAGCGGGGCCGCCATGTCCACATCGCTGGGCTCCAACACGTACAACCGGCAGAACTGGGAGGATGCGGTGAGCGGGACGGCCGCGAGGGGCCGGGCCAGCCGGGAGGGGCGGGCCTGGGCCGGCGGGCTCGGCTCCGCCGCGGGAGTGCGGGGGGCGGCAAGGCCGCGAGGCGGGCGGAGTGCGGGGAGGCGGCCCCGGGGCTGGCACCCGCCATGGGGACCCGCTGCCGTCCCTGGGACCTGCCACCCGCCCTGGGGACCCGCCAGCTGCGGCTGAGGCTGTGCCGCGGTTCCCCGGCTCTCCCCGCGGCCCAAAGGGAGCGAGCTGCCCGCCGCTCCTTCCCCCGCGCCGCCCTGAGGGGCTGCAGCGGCTGCGGGGCTGAGCTGGGCCCTTCGGGTGCCCCTGGCCGCGTCCCTTCCTGCCGAAGCCTCCCCAGAGCGGACCCAGTGCAGGCAATCGCTGCTGAGGGATAACGGGGGCGGTGTCGCCTGCTGCAGTCCGGGCGCTGACAGATTCACATCTCAAGAACACGATTTTTACTTGGTTATTCTAAGTTTTACTCCAAGTTCCAATAGCGACCAGATTATAGTAATTTGGGCCTGGGTTGTGGCTTGCAGCTCTCCCAGTGTCTCTGAATCCATTTGCGTCTTTTAATCATCTGTTGAGTTAAGCTAGATAATTTTTCATAGTGTGACTTCAATGCTGTTGTGGAGGCAGAGCTTGTTACAAATTCCCGATTTTCTTCTTGCTCCATTCAGGACTTCCCTATCCTGTGCCAGACGTGTCTTGGAGAAAATCCCTACATTCGGATGGTAGGTGCTTGTTGGGCCCTGCTGCCCTTCCCTCTCTCTGTGCTGGCCCTAAAACTGGGTTTGGGGTCTGAAATAGGGCTGGGTACAGGAGGAGGTGCTGAAGTGAACACACACTGCTGAACAGCTGGTTCTGCACAACAGGATCTGGTTCAGCTGTTGTTGGTGTGTAATATCACAGTTAGGGGTGTGATTTGAGAACAAATCAATCACAAAGGAGAGAAGATGATCCACTCCAGTGTCTGGAGTGCAGAAAATGGTAGAAAATGAAATTTTAGTATTGGCAAGCTCCAACATGGAGAGCTGTGAGCTGCTCAAATTCTAATTAGTGCAGTTTCTAAAATGTGACAAACATGCACCTCTAAGATTAAGTTAAAAGTGACTTAGGAAGGTAGTTTAAATTCCTGTTTGTTTTCCTGGGTTTGCTCTGTGCAGGGTGAGTCAGTCCATGTTCTGTTGCTTTTCTCTGCCTGCCCTGGTTGCCCGTGACCTACATTGACATGATCTCCTTCATATTCATGTTCCACAAATTTTCGGAGAGAGATTGGGTTGTTCTTATGAAACAGAACTCTAGTGCTACTATGGGGGATATTTCTAAACCTGTTTGTTTCCATGGGTTATTTAATGTAACATCACCTTTCCTTAAAAAGAGCTGATAATGCTCCTTTTCATTCTCACCTTTCATCAGTACAGGAGGTGGGACTTGAAGTACTCTGTGACTTGAAAGTTTCTAAACCAAAAGTGCATTGAGAGTATTTAGAATTTATTATTTTTTGTCCTGTTGACTTCCCAAGGTGTAAACCAAATACATAGGGATGAGTGTATCTAAATGCAGCAGAAATATGAAAAAACCTACTGTGTTATCATATCAATGATATGTTTCATTTTTATTTTTCTATATTTCAGACCAAAGAAAAATATGGAAAAGAATGCAAGGTATGTTTGTGTGTTTTGAAGAAAGATTGTCGAAATTGGTGCAGATCTAGGAACAATCCGTTTTAATGATGAAAAACCTGTCAGCTTCAGAAGAGTGCTTATCTAGGTTAACTTAAAATATTTATGTAGCTACTTAAATTTTTAGGTCGGTCTGCTGTGCTTGTTAGACATAGTCAGTTGGTTCTAAAATGGTAAAATAACTGAGCAAGTCCTGAGTTTGTCTAAACAAGTTTTCATGTGTATCAGAATGAGGTCTTGCAAATACTGTTGTACTATATATGAAGTTATTGCAGGATTTTAAATGATCCATGTTTTCTTGGGTGAGTTTCTTGTTTTTACTGAGAAGTGCAAAATACCTGGAGTTTGGGTTTTACTGTGAATGTTATTCATGCTATTTGGTGATTTGTGTTGGCTGTCCAAGAAATAAGCCACAGTTATTTCCAAGAGCAAAAAATACTCAGTGTTGCCTGGACTGAGGGAAATTAAAGGAGGTTTTTGCCCTTTTATCAGTTTTCATCTGAGGTAGAGAAAAGGTATAATTTGGAGTCTGCACATACTGAGATTGTATTATGAGCTCAAGCTGTACCTGCAGAGGAAGCAAATGCATCATTCCATGAGATAAGAGGGAACATCATTCTTCTGCACCAAAGCTCTCATAACCTCCTCCAGGTTGCTGCTGTGCTGGTGTCTGATGTACCCATCATTGTAATTCATCTCTAGAAGCTCCACACTGACATCACCTGGAGTCAAAGAGAATTTATTTATCTTTGAGTAGATCTGCATTTAAATAAATAAATAAATAAATGCAATAAATAAAAAGAAAAACAGCAACAACAACAAAAAAACCAGCTTCCCTAACATTTATTCCTGTCAAAGTAAAACCCCAATTAGAAATGAGAGTTTTTCCTGAGCTCTGAGTCTTAGCTTTAGGACCAAGAAGTTGTGTTTATGGTTTGGAGAAGCTGGATGGGTTTGGAGAGGCTGGATGAGTTTGGAGTGTGTTTCCAGGCCAGGAGCAGACAGCAGCTGTGTGCAGAGTGAACCAAGTGCCCCCTTTGTGTCCCAGATTTGTGCCAGGCCCTTCACGGTGTTCCGCTGGTGCCCCGGCGTGCGGATGCGCTTCAAGAAGACAGAAGTGTGCCAGACCTGCAGCAAGCTGAAGAATGTCTGTCAGACCTGCCTGCTCGACCTGGAGTATGGTGTGTACCCAAAAACCTCCTCCAGGACAGGGAGCTGCCCTCTGAAATGGGAGCTGGTGGAATCATTTTAAATGTGTGCATGTAATTGGCACTGCACAGTCTTTGAGATGAGCAGGTCTTGTCTCTTCAGAGGTTCAAGGGCAGAGTGGTTTCCCTGAGCAGCAGATGATTTACCTCTGATCACTGCACATTACAGAAATCACTCTTTCTGCTCTTTCAGCTTGTTCTTCATATGGATTGGTTGGGGTTTTTTTGTTTCATTTTAGGTTTGCCTATCCAAGTCCGGGATGCAGGACTCTCCCTTAAGGATGAAATGCCTAAATCTGATGTCAACAAAGAATACTACACCCAGAACATGGAGCGAGAGGTGAGTGAGCCAGCCATGATCATGGTTTTTGGGTGCCTGTATGTGGGGAGGAAAGGGCAGCAGTGACCTAGCTTCTCTTAAAACCACTTGCTTGATCTGATTCAGTGCATTAGTGTTCAGTGCTGATATACACACAATTATTTGTGTTCTGCCTGCTTTTAGATAGCCAATTCTGATGGCACCAGACCAGTTGGTGCACTAGGAAAAGCTACTTCTACCAGTGACATGCTGCTGAAGCTGGCCCGAACCACTCCATACTACAAACGCAACCGTCCTCACATCTGTTCCTTCTGGGTGAAAGGAGAGTGCAAGAGAGGAGAGGAGTGTCCCTACAGGTACAGACACAGCTTGGACAGTCCATCTCTGCACCACAGTCAGATGCAGCTTCCCTTGGAGATGCTGCAGTGGGCAGGAGACACTACAGTGATTTGGGTCAGGGCAGCACTTGCATCCAGTGCCAGCAAATGAATCTCTGTGGTGGAAGTTGGTTTGTGAGAAGTTGGTTGGCTGCGTCCTTTGCCAAAGCAGTGACTGCAGCTCTTCTCTTGTGTAGTCAATTTTTCCCCTTTGTGGCGTCAGTCCCCTCAAGCAGAGATCTTTGTATTTGAACAAGAGGCTGTTTCAAACCCAGCTCTTGTGTTTTGTAGTGCTGAGTGTTGAGCTGTCAGAAGCACTATTCATTCAGAACTTGACGCAGTCCTGGCTGCAGCTGAAGTCTTCAGGGCTTTGTTCCATTTTGGCATGTTTATGTGGACAGGGTTAAGGATATAAGTGACCCGAGGCTTTGAGAAGGGAAACTGGCAGCTACAGTAATTTTAATCCATTCAGTCATGCCTGATGTTATAAAGTGCTTTGTTTGCTGAACCTTAGACATGAGAAACCAACAGATCCAGATGATCCTCTGGCTGACCAGAACATCAAGGATCGTTACTATGGAATTAATGATCCTGTGGCTGACAAACTTCTGAAACGAGCATCAACCATGCCTCGTCTAGATCCTCCTGAGGACAAGACTATTACTACACTGTATGTTGGAGGGCTTGGAGATACCATCACTGAATCAGATCTCAGGTGTGTTGGTGAATTTGTATTGACCTTGCCTTTTTGTTTGACACTTTGATAATGACTCTTCAAGTGAGGAACAAAAATAAATCTGGATTTCAGGTTTTTCTAATGGGGAACTGGTTGGTGGGCAAGTGCAGAGGAGTGCCAGCTTGTTGGAGAACAAGCAGGCACATTTCAAATGCTTTGATTAAAATGTATCTCTTTAAAGATGAGTCATCCCTTTGTGCTGTTGGGGATACTGTGTAACCCTTTTTACAAGGAGGTCCTGTATCCTTTAGCTAGCTACTGAGAGAAGCTGCTGCAGAGCTTTAATTGCTCCATAATTGCATGGAGGGCTAATTATCATTAACTGATTGATTATTGATTTCTAATTATTAGTTCGAGCTGGAAATGGAGAAGAGAAAGTTTCTGTGCATCCTATCTCACCTGTTGTATACCCTGTGGCTAGGGAGAGTGGGGAATCATAATAATTTTTTTTGTCCCATACAGAAATCACTTCTACCAGTTTGGGGAGATCCGGACGATCACGGTGGTGCAGAGGCAGCAATGTGCTTTCATCCAGTTTGCCACCAGGCAGGCTGCAGAGGTGGCTGCTGAGAAATCCTTCAACAAACTCATCGTCAACGGCCGCAGGCTCAATGTCAAATGGGGAAGGTGAGTGTGGGGGCAGGAAGCCTGGAGGATTTGCAAGTTCTTCTCTCAGTTTACAGTCTTGACCAGCAGGATTGGGTATTATGCAGAAGTTGATACTTGTTTGGTAAATATTTGGGGTCCTCTTGCATTTTGGTTTTATTTTTACAATGGGATCTGGCTTGGAGATGACGCAAACAGCATAAGGGATTTCTTGGCTGAGGATTATGGATGAGCTTTGGTAGCTTTGCTCCTAGTCCATCTCCTCTAAACACTGTTTGCAAACTTGGTACCATCTGTCTGATGTTCTGTGAGTTTTTCGTCTTTGGCCTGAAGAAATAGATCTGGAATAGATAATGTGAAGCCACTGTGATGTAAATATCTCCTTATCCTGCTTTTCTCATCCTTGCTGTCAAACTTTTGTCTGTTTTTCAGGTCCCAGGCAGCAAGAGGAAAAGAAAAGGACAAGGAAGGCACTACAGAATCGGGGATAAAGCTGGAGCCAGTTCCAGGACTTCCTGGAGGTAAGAGAGTTGTATTCATCCCTGAAACACTTAATGCTGACCCACTTCCACCAGTGAGACTGCTGTTAAACTTCCAGGAGCAGTGACAGTTCAGGGTGGTGGAGGCTGTGGTTAGCCCAGAGCAGTTACAGGAGGTTTGCAGCACATCCAGCTGGATGGGAGATGAGCTTTGTCTAGGAGCAGATCCTTGATGAAAAGAGAGTTCTTTATGTGATGAGTGAAAAGTTAAAGCTGAATTCAACTTACTTAGCTCACAGATACTTGCAACCCACGCTTTCAGTGTCCAGTGAGTGTTGTATGATGGACAAAGCAAAGCTGGTTTCAGATGAAGGAAATTGGTGACTGGAGTTTCAGGGCAGTTCAGCTTCTCACTCCAGTTCATACATCAAATAGTAACAACAGTTTGTCCTTGTGAAAGCGTGGGTTGTGCTCCATCTCTGAAGGCAGACACCTCTGCTTGTCTTGCCTGAGAGATTTTCCATAACTATATGTACTTTTTCTGCAGCCCTCCCCCCTCCTCCAGCTGCAGAAGAGGAGGCTTCTGCAAATTACTTCAATCTACCTCCAAGTGGCCCTTCAGCCGTGGTGAACATTGCCCTGCCACCCCCTCCTGGCATCGCTCCACCGCCACCTCCAGGTACCTGTGCCTCCCCCTCCAGAGGGGGTGTGAAATTCAGTGTTAGACAGTCTCTTCCTCCCTGCCAGGCCATGCTGCACTACTGATGCATGCCCTGAGCTGATTTTCCTCATCCCTGATCACACAGTGTAAACGGATGAGCTAAACTGAGCTGTCAGCACAGTTTAATTGAACTGAGCTGCCTGTTGTGGTTGGTATTTGCTTGCAAATTCCCAGGCACGTTGGTTACTGGTACTGAGACCTACTCAGTGCTTTTGCTGGCTGTGTAAATGCCACATTAACCCAAACTTCAAAGGGTAATTTTGCAGATGGTTGAATTCTGGCATGTCCTTGGCTCTCTATATATCTATCCAGAGATACTTTTTTTCTTTTTAATGGAATTTTGGACTCTCACAGATGCATCTGGTCTGCTCTGTGGTTGAGTAGGAAACATTTAGATGGCTATTACAGACACCTGCCCAGTCCCCCCATCAGCTTTTATTTGTAAGGATGTGTATTGGGTAGGGATTGGCCCTAGTTGTACTGAAAAGAGGGGCAGGAGTTTGGGGAGATGGGAGATGTGCACATTTATGGGTCACAGCTGTCAGCCAGCTGTGGTATCAGCACTTTGAAGCAACAGTACACACACATCAGGTTTTCTTTTGCTTTGCCTGAAGCTGCCAACTTTTGTTTCTGCAGGTTTTGGACCACACATGTTCCACGCCATGGGGCCCCCACCTCCCTTCATGAGAGCCCCAGGCCCCATCCACTACCCATCCCAGGATCCCCAGAGGATGGGTGCCCACGCAGGAAAGCACAGCAGCCCCTAGCACGTCCTGCCACCCTCATCCTTGAAGTAAATGTTATTTTCTAGTTACCATGGTAGCACCATATGTTGAGCTGTGGGTGAGCTAGAGATGCCTTATTTCCCTGCTTGCAGCCACAGGGCAAGCTCAGCTCCGTGTCTCCACTTATAATCGGGTTCTTGATATGTCCCAGGTCTTTCTATTAGTGTGGGGGGTGGGTGGGGGACAGACAGAAGGGCTGTCAGGGGTCTGTGGGTCTGGGGTACCAGAATTGCAATGCTATCTGTGTATCCCATTAGCACACTTTTGAAATAAACTTCTGGAAAAACAAAACCAAACCCTTTTCAAGCCATTTTGATATCCTCAGTTGGAATGTTATGGACTGTAAAAATGTAACCAGAGACTTTTCTGTCAGGTAACTAATGATGTATTATTCTAATGAGGTATTAAACCAGGACTGAATAAGAGTTGAAAAACGAGTTCATCAGACCTGCCAAACCCATGGCTTGGCCTTACCACTTTACAGAATTTTCCTCCCTCCTTTTTCCTGACTTCTTGGTTAAGAAAAGACAAGAAAACAAAGCAGAGGAGGAGTAGAACTTGTGGCACCACAGGCTGGCTTTCTCTGGAGAAAGAGCTGGGCTTTGGGTGTGGGTAAATCTGGTTTTGTCAGGGGAGAGCTCACCCAGGGTGTGTTGGACATGCTGGTGGATGGGAGAGGGCTGTGGCATTTGCACTGCTCTGGTCCAGAGTGTCTGTGGCCAGGACCTGTGAGTGCTGTGACAGATTTGGCATGCAGGAGGCTTCACATCATCCCAATTTATTTATTATTTCCAGTAACCAGCCAGTAACCCAGGGTGCCTGGATTCTGCAGATGCTGGACAAAGAGGAGAGAAATGGAACTGGAACAGAGCAGCAATTAAACATCACAGATTTATTGTTTCTAAGGAACAAACCATTTTTCTTTCTGCTTGCTTGCCCCCTCCTGCTTCTGTGGGAAACTGAGTAATGAAAGCTTCCCACCTGAATGATATGTTGTGGCAGCAGAATCCCTGCGTGGGGTTTGCTCTGCACAGCGTTACAAACTTCACAAATGAGGCAGCTGCTAACTGCAATTTTACCACAACGTTTACTTGCCCCATTTAACCACAGTGGTGGAAAAAGGAACTTTTATCCTGGTGCTTTTGGGAGTATAAGAAAGGGTAATGTTAAGAACCTGACAAAAGCAACTGAAGGAAGCCTGTGTTGAGTCAGAGGTTTTTGTGAATGGGGTTCCCCAGGTATTCTGGTGACTGTAGGCTGTTGTTAGCTGCATGTCCCAGTGTGTGTCACTGCTGGAAATGTTGGTGTAGTTGGATCCTCATTGCTGATTTCCACGTTCCCAGGGAAGCCTGTGCCTACTCTGGAGGCACAGCTGTGCTGCTTTTCCTTCCCACTGGTGTGGAAGTTACCAGAACATCCTGGCACATCCTCACACTGCTGTGGTTCTGCAGGGCCTGATCATTGACCAACTACATGAAGCAAACCTGTCATAAGTCACTCAGAGAGCCTGGATTAGATGTTCAAGCAAGGCATGCAAAGAGCAGTAGGAAGGGGAAATAGCTGCCAAGTGCTAGCCAGTAGCTTCTGGAAAACAGAGCACAAGTTTCCAACTCCCAGCATTCCTCTCCCCTCTATCATGGCTGTGCTGTGTTGGTAAACATTTGTTCTTGTTGTCCAGCCAAGCTCAAGGTAGCTGCTTTAAACATGCCAGTGCCTCAAGTAACTTGTTTTATTACTGCTCTTCCATTATCACCTCCTCTCTGCGCCCTGACTGCAATGACAGATGCAGAGCTGTCCTGAAGATGGAATTTCTCTGCAAAAGCACCAGTTGTGCAAGCAGGTCTCGTGTGCCAGTGAGGATGCAGTGAGGCAGCTTTGGTGTGTTGCAGCTGGTGGTGCTGCTGTTTTCCACGAGGCAGGGGAGAGGACAGGCTGTATGGGATGTTTTGTATGGGAGCTTGCAGGGATCTGCTGGAGTAACAGCCAGGGCTTGGCTGGTTGGCTTGGCACTGACTGCAAGGGGAGCTCAGAATGGTCCCACACTCGAGCTCATTCAAACCCCACTCAAAGATGACAACCCAAGCCCACCAGCTGAGCTTACATGGAGGATTCCTGCCCTCCCTCCCCTCCCCTGTGAGCATGTCTGAGTCCAGTGAGGGAACCATCCGTGGCCATGGGGAAGGGAACACGTGCTACAGCTCTTCGCTCTCCGGCAGGATCCGCACCCAGCCTTGGGCCACCCTGTTGAAGTTGGGCCTGTGGGAAATCGCCTCCAGCACACTCAGGTTATCCAGCTCCACAGTGGGCAAGGAGAACAGCTCACCAACCAACGCCCTGTCAAACGGGGCTGGGGTCCTGCAGCACAAGGAGAAGCACACTTAGTCACAAAGAGAGGCTGGCCGTGTTGTGAAGGTGTTAGAAAAAAACAAGTCTGGACTTACTGAGCCCAGCACAATGTAGCAATGCCTGTTGCATTGCCTAACCCTCCTCTTCCTCCCCAGGACACTGTTAGAGCCCTGCCAGCCCACTGGGGTGGTTCTCTGGTACAGAGCCCACCTCAACTCAAGCCTGAAGAGTGAGGTTTGATGCCTGGGTGTTGGTGGAAGTGTTCTGCACGTGGAAGGGCTTAGACTCAGAGACCAGTGACAGTGACAAACCCCTGGTCTTGAGAGTGCCTCATCTGCAGCTCCTGTGTCCTGCAGAGGGCTGGGGCTGACACTGCTCTGGATCACACCAGCACTTTCAGCTCTCTTGGCCCTGCCTCCATCCTGCCTTTTGGAACAATGACTAACAGGAGGAGCAGTGTGGAGCAAGAGCTGTCATCTCTTTCTGGAGAAATGTGGAAAGGGACTGGGGAAGAGTGTGCCAGCCCCCAAAAAGCCAAGAATGTTGGTTTTGGAGCAGCACATGGGGGCTGAGTTATCAGTGAGGCAAAACTGGGAATGTTTGCTTTGGGAAGCACAGCTAGAACATGATAACGTGGCACTGTTTTGCAATAAGAGGGGAAAGGCAAATGAGACAAGTTTGTTCTAGGAACTTTCTTTTGGGAAAAGAGAGTCTTTGTCAAAGCTTGGTTTTCACTCTCTCTTAAAGCAGCACATCTTAGCAAGGTGGCCCAGGTTTTTGCATCAGTCTGAATATTTTAAATTGTGGATAAATCAGCCTGCTTTAACGCAGTTGTTGTGGAGATGGTGGACTTGCCCTTGCTCTGTGACCCATGAGAGCTGTGCTGGGATTCAGCTAGCCTTAGGCAAGACCACTGGCTTTTCGATAGCCAGCTTGTTCCAAAAAGTTTGTTTGTCTGTGGCTTGGTATTTGAACTGAGAAGTGATTTAAAAGCTTGGAAAATTGTGAAAAGCCCAGTTAAAAGCAGATTCGCTTTCTGAATCTTCCTGCCTCACTGAAGAATTAGAGGAGGTGGCAAGAGGCTTGGAGTTAAATTAGCATCCATCTGTATTAAATTACAGTTGAAGACTTAAAATAGAAAGGCAGTGTGTGAGAGGGGAGAAATGGTACAGGGTAGAGTATTATTCAGAAACATGCCCTTGCTTCAGTCCCTGTCCATAAATAAATCCTGAGGCAGAAACATGGCTAAATGTTGAAAGAAAAGAGCCAAGTGTCTGCAGCAGCTCCTTGTCCTCCCCCTGCAGCCCCTCCTTGGCTCTAACTCCTCAAGGACAGCCACATGGCAAAGCCCCAGGGCTGAGGGGGAGGAGAGCAGCAAAGGGACGGTGGTGACCAGGCTCATTTCTGCCCTTTAGGATGGCTTTTCCCACAAGGAGGGGTTGTGGTCCCTCACAGCCCCTTCTGCCAAGTGCTGAAAGCACAGCACGCTTCAAATCCAGCCCTGGGGAGCTGCTGCTGCTGTTGGCACATGGGCTGCTGGGGACCAGTGCTATGTCCCAGGGGGAAACTCCAGTGGGAACTTGGCTACTGGAAGATGACTTTGGCCAGGCCACCAAAGCCAATGTAATTCCATCCTCATCACAGAGGCTTTCAGGGAGGAGGACAGACAAGACTCTTTGCTGATTCCCTGGGATGATGTTCAGCTTAAAACTTCAGTTCTCCTCGTTCTGCCATGGGCTGCTGATGCTTTGCTACCAGCAGATCTCCATCTCCTGGACCCCACTAAACTCCTTTCCAGAAAGGAGATCTGTCTTGGCAGCCTTTTCTCCAGGGTCCCACCCTTGACCCCAGTGTAATTTGGGGGTGTGAGGGGGCACCAGCTGTGCTCCCCCAGAAGCAGCCACAGGGCAGGGAGCTTGCCCTGGCCTGGAGGCTTTGGGCTCCAGCAGGTGTTTGGAAGGAATCTGGTGACCTCTTAGCACTCTGTGGGAAGATTAACCTTATACCCCCACTGCTTCCAGCAGCTGCTTGAATACCTTAAGGAAATTAGGAAAGAGACTTGGCACTGTGTCATTCCTCCATGCAGCCCAGAGCTGTGCCCAGCTGGGAACTGGAGTGATTCCTACTCCACAGGGCCATGTTTGTAAGAATCGGTCCTCCCAAATTTCATCCCTGAGGTTACCCCGTGAGATCAAGCTGCTTAAGGCTGTGTGAGCCCAGTAGTGGAGCTGAGAGGAGATCTGGGGCAGAGCTGCTGGAGGCAGCAGGGAGCCACAGAGGAGCTCCTGAGTAGGAAAGGAGCATCCTGAGCCCCTCTGGGGTATAAAGAGGACATCAATGGTTACATTTCCCTGGCAGGATGGTGGGTGCTCCTGGAGACTGAAGGGCTTGGCCAAGGGCTGTTGTGGCTGGTGGTGTCAGCCCCTGTTACCTGTTGAAGCTCCTGAAGTCCCACGCAGGGGGTCTCATGGGCGGCGGGTTCTTGCTGTACACAGCATTGTCCCTGTCACCAAAAAGCTCCTGCCATGGGGACTGGTAGCCCTTGGGGATGGCAGTGGCATTGAACTTCTCATGGGGGATCTCTTTGAGGGGGCTGGAGTACCCTGTGCAGGGGAGAGACACAGTGTGGGTGCTGGGGCCAGAGCCAGGGGGCTGGGAACAGCCCGGCCTCTGCATGGCCACGGCCTGTTACTGGGGCAGGAATGAGTATCTGTAACATATATATATTTCTGTATCTACACATACATATTTGTACACATAGAATCTCTGGGGGAGGGCTGGGCAGACCCCTGAGCAAGCAGCAGCTCACTGCCTCCAGCCCCATGTTGCTGGGATCACAGCAGAGCTGGGTT